CCTTGCGCACATGGTCACTTTCATTCTAAGTTCAGACACACTCGACATTTCCCAGAGCCACACTTATTCCATTCCCACATATATAGGAATTAGAGGTTTTCCGAGGACTTGCGAGAAAGTCCTCGAAGTCGGAATCCACCTAGCGGTGAGTGTGAGAATGACGGTCGCTACAGACCTTTTTAAGCCGCGGGCTGCAGCCCGTTAAAATGGTTAATTTTACACCGTGATTACGCCGTGGGCGGTTGAAAAACAGCGACACCGTGGTGGACGTCTCGGTTCATCGGTAGCCGGGCTCCTGCAATATTTCACGGTACCCCGATAATTTGCGCAACGGCGAATCCGTTATCGATTTGCCGGGGCAAAGTGGCTGTAAGTAGTTCGTGGCCGTGCATGGTCGGACGCGGTGTCAGAGAGCGAGGGTGGATTTTTGAAGGGTCGGGGCCGCTTTAAAATTGCAAGCTCGTTGCCAGCCGAACGACGCTATCGATAGTCACGTAGGTTCGTATTTCCCTGCCGATCGGTTGCAGCGTAATCGAGCACACCGGGGCCCTCGCAGCCCCCTTCCGGCCGTGGAAAACCGACGGAATTTTCGCGCGGATAACACCTGCCGTTTGCATTTGGCTCCCATGCCAAAGTCATCTCCGGAGAGGCGAGTCTCATCGGCCTGCGTCGCTTTTTCACTCGGCCGGTCGCGCTTGCTTGGCCACCCCCCGATCGTCGCGGAGTCGCTTTTCCTCCTCGCACACTCGGTCCCGCACCCTTTCCGCTTCCCTCGTGCCAATGTCTCCGAGACGCGGGCCATCAGCATAAAACGCGCGGTTTTATGAGCCGTAGCGGGTAGACGGCCGCGTGTTACATCTTCCTCAAATGATCCCCCTCGTTGCCGCCCCGCCGCAATCGTCCTCGCGCTGTATTTCCCCGGCTTTTCCACGACGTGGCCGTTGTTACTCGCAGCCTTCTTCTCGTACCCCGACGTTTCCGTGGACGTGTGCGACGTTTGTAACTTCTTTATAGCGAAGACGCTTCGGCGTTTGAGTTTCGCGGCTATGTACTTCCGCCACGCGGTCTTTCGAGTGATTATGTCGTTCCTCAGTGATAATGCGTTCTTTCTGTTTGTTCCAGATTGGATTCTTCGTAACGTCGAGTTCTTCGTGCTTTGGGATCGAAATATTTTCCTTTTTGTATATTTTATCGCTTGCAAATGTAATTTCGGGTGCTATGGGTGACGAATGTGTGGATATCATGTGTTTCACGGAGGAAATATTCTGTTTTGGATATTTTCATTCCGATGAGTATAATTTTGGACCCCATGGGTGTCTAGAATCTGTATGTCCTACGCTCCAGAGTAAGAAATATTCTTCCTTTTATATTTCACTACTGGTAATTGTAATTTTGGGCCTTATGAATGTTAAGAATATTGTATGTCACGTGTTTGAGGATAGAAATATTTTTTTCCGGATATTTTAATGCTAATAATTATAATTTTGGACCCCATGGGTGTCAAAAAGAGTAAGAAGTAATCTTTCTTTTATATCTCACTACTGGTAATTGTAATTTCGAGCCTTACGGATGTCAAGAATATTGGATGTCACATATTCGAGGATCGAAATACTTTTTTCCGGATATTTCAAAGCCGATAATTATAATTTTGGGCCCCATGCGTGTCAAAAATCTATGTGTCCTACGTTCCAGAGTAAGAAATATTCTTCCTTTTATATTTCACTACTGGTAATTGCAATTTTTGGCCTTATGGATGTTAAGAATATTGTATGTCACGTGTTTGAGGATCGAAATACCTTTTTCCGGATATTTTAAAGCCCATAATTATAATTTTGGGCCTCTCCCCATGGGTGTCAAAAAGAGTAAGAAGTAATCTTTCTTTTATATTTCATTATTGGTAATTATAATTTTGGGCCTTTAATTTCGAGCCTTACGGATGTCAAGAATATTGGATGTCACATATTCGAGGATCGAAATACTTTTTTCCGGATATTTCAAAGCCGATAATTATAATTTTGGGCCCCATGCGTGTCAAAAATCTATGTGTCCTACGTTCCAGAGTAAGAAATATTCTTCCTTTTATATTTCACTACTGGTAATTGCAATTTTTGGCCTTATGGATGTTAAGAATATTGTATGTCACGTGTTTGAGGATCGAAATACCTTTTTCCGGATATTTTAAAGCCCATAATTATAATTTTGGGCCTCATGGGTGTCAAAAATCTGTGTGTCCTACGCTCCAGAGTAAGAAATATTCTTCCTTTTATATTTCACTACTGGTAATTGTAATTTTGGGCCTTATGGACGTCAAGAATATTGTATGTCACGTGTTTGAGGATCGAAATATTCTTTCCGGATATTTTAATGCTAATAATTATAATTTTGGACCCCATGGGTGTCAAAAAGAGTAAAAAGTAATCTTTCTTTTATATTTCATTACTGGTAATTATAATTTTGGGCCTTACGGACGTCAAGAATATTGGATGTCACGTGTTTGAGGATCGAAATACTTTTTTCCGGATATTTTAAAGCCGATAATTATAATTTTGGGCCCCATGGGTGTCAAAAATCTGTGTGTCCTACGCTCCAGAGTAAGAAATATTCTTCCTTTTATATTTCACTACTGGTAATTGTAATTTTGGGCCTTACGGATGTCAAGAATATTGTATGTAACGTATTCGAGGATCGAAATATTTTTTTCCGGATATTTTAACGCCGATAATTATAATTTTGGACCCCCTACGTGCTACAAATTTTGGGTGTCATGCTTTTAAGAATACGTTGTTTCCTGAGTATTTTAATTACGGTAATTGTAATCTCGATACTGACATGAGAAAATGACGAATCGAATCATCGTGCCTACGTTGTTACGCGTATTCATGAAAACGGGGTTTTATTAGGCGATTACACGACCGTCCCGGAACAGGACGATAATCCTGATATAAAAATTATGCATACGGTAATGATCCCGCGTGACGGGTGTACTCTCGCAGTAAATCGTGCTTTTATAGGGTTACCGCTACAATATCACGGGAAATTATTTGACCAACGGGTTTACGGGAGTCGGGTCGTCGTAAAACCGGGCCCCGGACACATGGCGCGTAAACTCGACTTAATTCGACCTATAAAGAAAATCGTTTACGTCGAGTACACCGAGCGAATCTGTTTTCCTTTTGCTCGTCACCGGTTTCATCGTTTGACAGGGGAAATAGGAAGCTCCAACAAAACTCGTTCACTGTGTCCTCAAAGATGGCGGCGGGTGATCAATGGTCTCTCTTCCGTAGTTTATTCGACGTCCATGTGAACATTTCCATTTCCATGTAAAAGGCTGTTTGATCTCGAAATTTGTTTCTCATTACGGTGCAAAATATTTCCAAATTTACGATGTAACGACGTCAGTAATAATTCAGAAATTATCCAAGCACCCTCTATTCCTCCTCAATTAAATATAAATCGAACAATTTATTTATGACAACTTAAATACCTTTTTCCAATCGAATATTGAATATTGAAATTGATCGAATATTATTTTACCAAAGAATCACGTGGACTACTCAATTTTGAAATTTAGAAATCGAGTGATAGGAAAGAAAAGGGGAATTTTTCCTTTCAAAACGTAGATACAAAATTTCCCCTGCTTTTCGTATAACATAGTTGTTTGAAATACTTAATAGTAAAGATTACAGAACATACTATATATACATTGCATTTTATATTTCATGCAAGCCCCCACTATACACATTAGGTGTAGTAAAAAGAAATCAATTATTTTTGCATGAAATTGAAGGCTTTATTTAGCATAGTTAAAATGATCCGATTTAGGTCAAATATGTACCGTTTTGTTCGATAACTTGTTGCCATTTTAAAGGTAATTCCATTTTTCCTTTCTCCTAGAAACCCTCGTCCCTATTGGCAAGAAACTGGGACAGTCAATTTTCACGAGCTTCTCTTGAGGCGAATTCTTCACCAGCAAAATCATTCGCCATAGACAGGAACAGGTGGTAATCACTTGGTGCCAGGTCCGGACTATAAAGTGGATGCATAAAAACTACCCCAACATGTTCCCGGAGCTTCTGGTGAGTTACTATCGATGTATTGTATACCTGACCAACGATACCAATTCCATCGTACCAAGACACCGTTCTAAAGTAATTACTTCATCTACTCCGTAGCCAAACTCGTGGTCCAAGTGGTCATCGCCTTTTTCCCACCCTCGCCAAAGGATTCTCGCTGTATATCACGAATCCTTAAAAAATCGGACGCTGTTAGGAGTTAAAAGAAGCAAGGCCTCATCAAGAGCATCGTGTTTACCAAGGGTTCGTTTGAAACGCTGGATAAAGCTCGGTGGATGGTAATAACGCTTCACCTGTGTGCACGGCCAGGAAGAATCGCCTGCCGTTTATCGGGATGGAAGGGAAAGTAGAATAGGACGGTGGAGATGAACGGAGAGGATGAAGTAGAGGAAGGAGAGAGGAAGGAGAAGAAAAAGAAAATTCCTTCCCCCAATATCTTTCGATCTTCCGTCGAATGCACAACCCTGGCAAATTGGAAGGAATATACTCTTCCCCTCCGCGACTGTGCAGGGAGCGAGAGGGGAGGCAGCGAGGTGGACAGGGGCGCAGAAGGGTCGAGGCTGGATTGCACAATGCACGAGATTTCGTCCAGTCCATCGGGAGTCCCATCGCGTCCCCATAGGCAGCTATTAGGGCGTGGGGTTGCCGGCAGTCCCGCAGGATGGCTGGATAGCTGGATGGTTTGGAAAGCTGAGAAGGGATGAGGAAGGTGGATAATTTGTCCGGCATCCACCTCCTCACCGTCTGTCGCTGTCTCCTTGTGCCGTTCGTTCCCCTCCCGGGCTCCGTAGGTAGCCAAAAGAACAGGGACAACTGCGCGACGCTGACCCGAATCCCAACGAGGTGTCTACATACGTCTGTTTTAGTTTTCTACCACGGAAAACTCGGACAACGCGCGATCCTGGGACCATGGGCAAGGGTTGCGAAGGAAATCCTCTTAGGTCGCCATGGGGAAGCAAATGCGCGGCGTTTACCGATGTGTCGTTTTAAAGCGCTTTCTAACCGAGGTTTATGGAGAAGGCGGCGAGGTCCCGCGACCCCGGTAAGGACACTCTACAAAGGTTTATGGAGAAGAGAATTAGGAGAAGAGGAATAGGAGCGAAAAAGCAAGTTACGGCGAAAGCCATCAAGCTGACTTCTTACTTTGGTAATACCCTTCTAGTGGCTGCTTTCATATAACTGCGTCTCCTGCGAGGCTTCTGCACGGGGGTTGCTTCTCGTTCCTGACTACCGGGGAGTAGGGTGGCAAATGGTACCGAAGAGAAAGAGGCTGCGATGAATAGAAGGAGAAGGAGAGAGAGGGAAGCTGGAAAGACAGGAGTATCTAGCAATTTGTATGTACAGTAAGCCTCTGTAATTGCCAGACCACCTATCTACCCCCGCGAACGCGCGCACCGAGACCCCTCGATGTTTCTGCTCTCTCCCGATTTACATATTATAATTTATAGGTCAAAGATATCGGCCCGACTGCGATCCTGTCGACGTTGTTGTCCTCTCTGGAGGGACGCGGCCATGACAACGCGATTTTTGATCATAATTCCGTTTTAATGAGTACCGAGGACGAATGCGATGTGCGTGTAACTTTTTAATCAAAATCGCCCACCGTTGTTCCCGATTAATTCGAAAATTCAAGAACGTGAAACTGCATCGACGCGATGTGTTCATTGACTCTTGCTCGGTCCTCTGGGGCCTTCCAGGTCTCGTGAAAATGTTATTTCGCAGCACGGTAGCTAAATGCGGTGTCACGAATAACCCCGGGAACACAAGGGTGCGGTTCCAGGGTTAATTTACTGTGCTTTCGTGTTCGATTAAATTGCTAACGAATTTTTCTCTAGTTACACGATAATATTCGAAATGTTACGCATTTCGAAACTCGGTGGATGACGAAACGAAGTGCTCTTCGCTTCATACGGACCTGACGCTGTACGATGTTCCAGTGGTAAAACACACGCTGCACTCGGTGATAAAATCTAAGTGTTTAAGAAACGGCGGAGCGAATGAAGATGTACGAGCCGAGGGTATTAGGATACGGCGAGAAAGAGAGAAAGGGGGCTGAGAGAAGGAAGGGTAGCTTTCACCGAGGGGTAACTAAAACGTACTTAGCTGCGGGGTTAAAAGGTGGAGAGTCATCGCGTGATCGTGGAACGTTATCCTAAAGCACATAACCCAGCCACCGGAGAAACAATCCCAAGGAAAAGGGTCGGTTTTCTCCGTAGGATCAAACCACCCTTAGCGTAACGGGGATCCGCGATGATTCTCCATTTAGATATAGTTACATTTAATTTCCCGATGTCTTATAGGCACGCGATAGCAAATGAATTGATCATCATCTTAAGTACCCTTGATACCATCATACCTTCGAACTGGGCCCCTGAAATCATTTCCTCGTTCTTTTCACTCGTGTCTGGAAATCGAATTACGAACTTGTATGTGGAATATTTGCTGTACCTCGATGACTCGAAACCTTCGCGGGATTTCCGGAAAAAGTTAGAGAGAAAGGGAACTTAACCCTCTGCACACGATAATTTTTTGGCCAAAGAAGGATAGGAGTTCAAAGATTTTCTGTTACAAAGTGGAAGACATTTTTCTGAGCAGGAATAAGAAATCGTATGACAATTAACACGTAGAATTATTTGATTTCGATACCTCGCACACCGTTACATTATCTGAAATTTGACATACTTATGAATATCGTGCTTCGAAATTTTATCAAATGGCCACTGAAGAACACTTCTCGAGCGCAAAGGGTTAATACATCGTGACAAAGATTATGTCTTCCTGATATAATTGTTATTGGAATAATAAAGAAAAGAATTGGGAGAAAAACGAAATAGCGTTGAATTGTTACACAGTACTTTACTTTCCGAAGTTGGTACGACTGGTTCTGGGTTTTCAGAGAGAGGGCGGTAGTGTAGAGAAAAGGTATTAAAAGAAGAACACGCGTGCAATTGAGTATTCGAAGGTATATAATTTCATTGTTGATTTATCATTTATTGTTTTATTTTCATTTTTACAGTTAGCCTTTCTACAAATGGAGGAATGGCATTTGAAGAAATAAATTAAATAGAAGGGCACAGTGTCAAAAATTCTCTCCTAACCTTAACCTATAATCTTACGAATCTATGATCACTATGCATCTATGAAATTTCTTACAAAAATTGTAGAATTTCTTGAAATTTTGACAAGAACCAACATGGGAGTTAGACTCGTTATTCCACAGCAAAGGTTTGAAGGATACAGATTATTGGTACGAAATTAAATGAAAATGAAATACGATAATATAAATGGAAGCTCTTTCTTGCAGGGACCTTCAACAGCTTCCTGTACATTAATCCTCCATTAAACGGAAGGAATATTCATCGTGATGCCCATATGTGTATAGTACAGTCCGAACAAGTATGACTGAATAATAAAGAAAAAGAATTGGGATAAAAATGAAATACAGTCTTACGAATTTATGATCACTATACATCTATGAAATTTCATCCAAAAATTGTAGAATTTCTTGAAATTTTGACAAGAACCAACATGGGAGTTAGACTCGTTATTCCACAGCAAAGGTTTGAAGGATACAGATTATTGGTACGAAATTAAATGAAAATGAAATACGATAATATAAATGGAAGCTCTTTCTTGCAGGGACCTTCAACAGCTTCCTGTACATTAATCCTCCATTAAACGGAAGGAATATTCATCGCGATGCCCATACGTGTATAGTACAGTCCGAACAAATATGACGGAATAATGGAAATGTTTGTTTTAATTAGTACGCCGCAGAGAATACGTCCTGTTTTTAGGTATGAGATATTAATGAGCGTATTCGACGAGCGAAATTGTCGGTGGAGAACTTTTGGCACGAGTTACGGTTTAACGACGCAACTACGTCGATGTTAACTGCCCTACGCCTCCATTTCGCTACTTTATTGCGATTCTTATTTATCTGTCCGTGTTATTTGTGCCCGGCCTGGCAATGCCACCCCTGCCGGGAATCGTGGACGAAATAGCGCGGGGAATAAACGCCACTCGAATGGTTCAGTATGCAACGACGGGACGGGTAGCTGGAGATGAATACGATCGCGTGTAAAACGTGTCTTCGACGAGAGAGGAGAGAGAGAGAGAAAGATGGGTGGGAAAAATGAGTCCGATCCTGGAAAATAATTCAACAACGCGAGATATAAAGCGGCGGGAAAATACGACAAATGACAGGGAGAGGAAGCGAGCGGCGTAGGCATGCAATTCCGTGGAAACACGGACACGAAATTCCGTGAAACAGGCTGGAATAGAAACTTATTATTCCTTTGGATCGAGCCCGCACGAAATTCATATGGCACGCCGCGAAAGTGCCGAGAAATATTAAGGAGCTCCGAGGAATAAGCAGCCGGATTCTAGGTATACGCACGTACGTGTGAAAGAATATGTGCTGAGGAAAGGTTTTATCCGGCACGGGGAAATCGATCATCCGCCTCATGGACGTAATACTATTGAAAAATTGCGATGGAATCTTTTGTGTGCACGGTAAGAGCGCGGAACAATCGTAAATACGAGAGGAATAATAAAAACCAGAAGAAAATTCCGTCTCATATCGATGAGCCTAGTACGAATATAGCTATGCTTGGTTAAATTCCACCAAAATTTCCTCGATTAAATTTACATACACTCTTTTCACGCATTCGTGCCCTCGAAATCAGCGAAACCTGATGCAATTGGCGGGTGGAGATAGTACTATTACAATTCGCAAACGTGCAGTAAAGAAAATTATAATTTTTGCACCGCTCATTTCATCTTTCTGAAAATAGTACCAATAATTTGCCGGAATTTTTCTGGTTAAAACGAGTCCAAACACTTGATAAATCGAACCATTTTTATTATGTCATTATGCATCATTTGACTGTCCAAGTTGACGTAATTATTACTATTAAAATTGGTCCTAATTTATATCGTGTGTTTGGACTGCTTTTGACTCGGAGAATCCGCTGGTACAATTTTTACAGGGATCTGCAAAGGATTAAAATTAGGAAAATTCAAAGTTTCCCTAGTTAGAGATTCCTAGAAGAAAAAGCTATCCTGATCGTGAGAATTCAACTGCTGGCTCACAAATGCGTTGAATTCGACCGAGTACTATCGTAAATAACATTCTTTAACCTGATTCGGAACGTCTTATGGTTATTATCGAGATAGGTCGTTATGGGGGGAACGGGTACTCGTATAGAGCCTCGCGATATTAGAGGTGTTAGAGAATTTGAAAAGTCATCTCGTAAACAAGAATGTAACAGTGGGTCCTGCCTGGGAGCAGCCGGGACGTCGTTGTGGATATTCCGGGCATGGGTGTAACATTGAATATGCATTAGCGTCAGTACGTCGATGGTTGCAGCGGCGAAGAAGGGATGAACGAAGTCGACGGTGACTCACATTGTGACCGGAATAAGCAAACTATCCTTTAAGGTTCTTCCCCTTGTTCGACGACGGGGCTTTCCACTCCCGTTGCCGATGCGACAGCACGACGAAGATCCTCGATTGAATTATCGTAATCACGCGTTTCCTTCGGCGGCCCTTTTCTTCCTTCCAATCTCATTTACGCTTCACGAGGGAGGAACACGGTCTTCGTGAGGTGACTACTCGAGAATTACGCGAAATCAGGCTCTTCGGGTCGAAGGTCTGACTCGACGAAGTCTGCAGTAATTGCTGAAATACAAATTCTTTCGTTTCAGTCTGCTACGTGTATCGTGCAATGTTGATTTGAGGTTAGGTATGATTTCACTTCGGCTATGATTTAATTACGAGAAATTATTCGAGATTAGTATCACGGATGTCGATAAAAATTTTCTCTACTTGAATGGAATTTTGATTAAAAAATTTTTAGGTTAGGAATTTCATAGAGGAACTATGAGGTTACCATGGAATTCAGATTTTTAGTAAATTCTCGGATTCTATGGAATACATGGGTATGTATATATTGGTAATATCCAATAGAATGCTCGTACGTACATGCGTAATCATAAAGGTATCATTTGCCATAATGATAAATTATTCCGAGGCCGTTCGTTAATTCGTGTCATCAATAGCGTATAATTAGGATAGTGTGTTGATGGGACCCTAGGTAGCAGCCAAGGGAGCCAAGAGAGGGAGATAGGTTGAGGGAGCATAAAGGAGTTAAGCCACAACGCATCAGGCTCACACGTGGGCGTGCGTGATAACGAAGCTTACCATCGCGATCGACGAGTATGTCTTGGCACGTGCATGTGCACACAACACGTGTGCGTGTAGACGTAGTAGACGGACGCGTGGGTGGTTCTGGGTGGAGCCTCGAAGTTTGATATTACCCTGGCAAGTGTCCATGGCAATCTTATAACTCAAGTGCTCACTACCTATAATGCGTGAAGCGTACTCTCGTGCACGTGCACGCATACATTCGTACATACGTACGTACGCGCACGCGTAGACGCGATGTTTGCGAGTGTGGATATAACCTAATACGAGTATTGTCCGTGCGCATCGACCTTTCTCCGTATGGCAACGCGCATTTAGATTGCGCGGTCAGAGTTCTCGTAATACTTTTGGCAGCTGTACGTTCCGACCGAGCAGCGAGTTAAGTTTAAGTTTAATTAACGTGCCACATCGGATTCGTTTGTAATCGTGCGCCCTTTAAATTGTCATGGTATTACCATGCGCATGATACGAATCGCACATGGCAACGAACTGCCTGTTCGAAATTTCCTACGATCCAAACGAGGTGGCGTTTCATTCTGTTTCCGCGCTAGCACGTTATTAGCTCGGCACGATAAATCATTTTTTCAAGACGAGTTAACTAGTTTCGCGGTTTCTCTACCGGCAGATTCCACTGGCCTGAGTATCACTGCTTTTAAACACGGTCGAATAACAATGCATAGAATGCTCGTAAATATTAATGCCGGAATTTTACTGGCAGTTATGTAAAGGAGATGATTTATTAATATTCATTTCAGCGTAAATGTGAGGAGATTAATGAGCTACGCGAAACATTTTGTGCCTCGTCACAAATTTACGCGATATTTTCGGGTTCTAAATCATCAAGGATACATGATCGATGGTTGGTGCGTTTGTATCGAATGTTGATACATAATTCCAATTGCGCATCAGTGGCGCCACCAGGTTTAGCATCGCGAATGCGTACGTTTTCATTTATGGGATTTTCGTTGCGCATATTTTTACGTATTATTATCAAATTCGAATGTATAGCGAGTCGTTTTTCCTCCAACGACACGAAACATTAAAACAGATCGTTTCGGGCGTTATTCTCAATAACGACGACGACAATCGCGACGTTGTAAATCGATCGCGATCGAAACCGAATTACGTCATTCGTAACAAGTATCATGGAGTCGTTCAGTATTTACGCTGTGCCTCGTGGATCTCTATTTACGAAATCTGATCTTGATTGGGAGTATGACAGCGTAAAAGTGTGTCGTGGTTATGTATTTATGATAGAATGTAACAAACCGTGATTACGAGAGATCCCGCGATCCACGGAGGCTCTCAAAGTTGGCTTTGTCGTCTTGCAACGAGCAACAGGTCCTTCATGTTTATATTTCTCAGGTATGTTACGAATAATACACGAGTTATGAAACTCCCGTGCTTTGCGTGCATTTCTTTGTTACTCGAAGCGTAGTAGTTGAACGGAATTTAATTCAACGAGGTTATGGTTGGAAAGCGGTATTTTAAAGACATCAATCTTCAATCATAACCTCCTTGCAAATAACAAACTTGTTCGAAAGAATGCTTATAAAGCTACTCGTCTTTAATTCTGTTTTTATTTCGTTTGCATACAGTTTCAACGTACCTGGTATCTTCCATTTTATATCTGGATATAAAACTTTTGCGTTTTATACTTTCTTGATGGATAGAAAAATACGCACGGTAAGAGATATATTTTTCTAAGACAAGAATGACATATGTACATAACCTTATTTTCATTTTCGTTTGTTACAGTTATTATTTCCTAACATTCGTATGCTCCATTCGAACGTTTTCCATCGAAAATGAAAAGAAAGCTGAAACTCCGTTATATCCGCTGTGCCTCGAAAAATGTGAAGAAAGATACCGTATTTCAAACAATAGAATAACGTTTCACTTGGCGACTACTTGCATTCAGGATACTGCACGCGAGGAACTTTCCTTTGGATATCGCGTGGCTTTCGCAGTTGTTTGCTTAAGAATACCCTTAAAATTTTCTCCAAGTTCAACGCAAACTTTCTCATTGTTAAGTTTGAAATAAGGATATCGTTAGAGGTAACTTCAACTTATTTCGTACATACGCTGTCCGTGTGGGACAGAGACGAAGATTAGAGCGTGGGTGGGGGGAAGTGGCGGGAAAGAAAAAATAGTTTTATTGCCAGGCTCAGTGCCAGAGAACCGTGTAAAGCTAGCCGGCCCGCTCATTATAATAAACCGCGAGAACCACTATGACTTACATTGCAAACTGTTCCCGGCGTTAGATAGTCGTTAGTGCCTTTTCTGCGACTCATCGATGTTTCTTTGAATTTTCTTATATATATATTTATAATTTATTAAATGGTCCAAGAATCGTAATTTCCATTGATATTAATTTTTTTGGGATCCTTGGTTTTTTTTTATAATTTTGGATTCTTTTATCAGAATTCAATTTTTAAAAATTGAAAATTTCTTTATTACTTGGGAATCGACTATTCTTATGTAGGGTGCCCTGAAATTCAAGCAAGATTTGAATTTTGCACCATTTCTGCGGTAAAGTGTTGCCAACGAAAGTGAAAAGACAGCGTGACAGCTGACAGTTCAGGGTTATTAAAAATGGAACGCTACACGAAAGAACAACGCGTCTTCATTGTTGAGAAAGATTTAAAATTTTTTGATTAAAAACCTGTTTTCTATCAAAATTACTTCTTGCATGAATTTTGGGACACCCATTATTTTTCGAATTTTTCATTTTTTGGAATTTTTTGAAATAGTTTCAATAAGAAATCGATTTTATTGGTTTTAGTTCCAGTAGCTTTTGAAATTGAAGTCGACACGTTTAGTTATCTGTTGGATTAACTTTAAATTGATTATGAACAAGGTATAGAGTATTCCCAATATTAAATCTTTTTCAGAACTGGTAATGGAATATATAAAGGAAAGAAAAATAGAGTGAGAAGTAAGAAGAAAAAAGATTAAAGAATCACAGTACAATAGAATATAAAACACTGGTAGTAGAAAAGAAGCCAAAATAATGTCAAAATAATAAAGTGGAAAAGATGAAAAACAAAGAGAGAAGACGAATTGCAAGATACAACTACAGAAATGAGATAAAGGCAAAAGAATATTGGAAGAGTGCAGAAGAAAGAGAATGCAAACTATGTGGAGAAAATGAAGAAAGTATGTGGCATGTGTTAAAAGAATGCGTTTGGACAAAGAGAGAAGGAAGGGATAGAAAAGTCACTAGAAGAAGAAGGAAAAAGGGTAGAGACTATAAAGAGAATATGAAGAGAAAGGGAAGAAAAATAAAAAAGGACAAATGGAAATTGGAAAGAGATGGGAGGAAGTGCAATGCAGAGATCCAAAGAGGAGCAGGAGAAATAATAGATGAAATAGAAAACCTGCTCATCCTAAGCCAAAAAGCAAAGATCAATAACAATAATGATATCCTAAAATTCTAAAATTTTTGTATAATTTTATTATGAATGAAATAGATATACTAAAATTAAATATTTTTTTCAATTACAATGGTTCTCAATTAAGTCGTAGAGTAAAGGGTTAACCGAAATAGACTTTCGTCTGGGGTTTAGATTTGGTAGGCAGCCCCGCTGACAACTGGAACACATTATCGGAAGCGTTAATGTTTATAAAGTTCTCTCCTCAGTTCGACGATACGGTTACCGGGTACGTCTTCCTTGGAAGTTCGCTGCGAACGCGTGGCAAGAAACCTTTTAGTTCGTAAATTCCCGTAACTTCCAAATAACCGCAACTTCTCGCGAATTCCTACATAGGGTGCGCAGGAACTGTTCAAAGTTTCGGAGTCGAAAATTGGTAGAACATTTCCCCGACATTTCAATTAAACGTTCCAATTGCTTTGTCTACCAGTCGTATAACTACACGCAGTATAACAATCGTGTAATTCATCTTGTGACATCGTTTCCTAACAAATTCCACTGTTCGTGTATCTTGCGAGTTTTCGATTTTCAACCTATCCTATTAATCTTCCATATGATCAACACTTAAAAACAATTATCACTAAGATAAAGTACATATTATACATATTATTATATATTATTGTATAAATATACATATGTATATAGAATAAGAAATCAGTCATGATAAGCAATAATATTTCCTCAGGATTATATTTTTTAAGCTTCTATGGAGATGAAAATTTTGTTAAACATAAGAGAGATAAAAAATAAAGGTGTGGTGTAAGAAAAGATAGGAATGACAAAAGAATTATGGTTAAGAAATGATCAAGATACTGGTTCCTGTATTTTTTGTTTTAAAATATATCACACACAATGCAATTTTTAATGAAATTAATTTCCTTACTCTTATTGTGATCAAAAATTATTATCTACTACCTATGATTTCTTCTATTATCTGAGAATAGTAATTTCTAGTCTGTGTGCTGTCAATCATGAAGAGGAAGATACTATAACACAAAATAAAAGAGAAGAACTACATGAAGCAAATTTTCAATATTGACCATGTAATTAATTAACTTTTCCTACCAAAATAAACAGTATAACTCACCATGAGCTCCTACACCAAGTATACAGTGACCAAGAAGACCAAACTTTAGCAACCAAAATTATATTAAAAAGGTAAAATGACTATACTAATCACAGCTATACTAAAAAGCTCAGAAGAATTAGGTAATATACCCAGGTATTATTCCCAGGAAATAAATTACATAGTAAGTAGTTGGTCCACAAACAGAATGTCTCTAATCGGTGTTCCTGTCAGTCTGACTCTTCCTTTGTGGTCTTAGCCGAATTTGAGTTGGTCTGGCAACGGAAGACGCAAGGTAGATAGCGAAGATAAGGTGGATTGAACCTCAAGGTGTTGGGCGAACAGGTTGAAGTGGTATCGAGGGTGTTGCTAGGTTACTAGTCTGGCTCCACAGATGAGAAGTTAGGCATTGGGCCTTAGCGTGTGCACCTTCAATAGGAGGAAGGCTGGAATCGCGGTGCACCTCAAACGTTGCCTTCCTTCTTTGCCGACCTTAGGTCTTAATTTTCTTCTCATTTCCGTCCTGTTTCCGGTGTTCATTGCCACCATTCTCGCTTCACCACCTTGTGCTTTTAATTCCCTCGGTTTGACCATGGTTTGCTATTCCACGAGAAAGTTACGGTATTCTTCAACAGCCTATCTTCTATTGTTGTGAAACTTTTTAATTTTCTTCTTTAAATAATTTTTTAATTCCTTCACACTATAACTCTACCTTCCACTTTATTAATAGCTCAGGAGTAGGACCTAGAGATAGAATATCAGGAGTAGTGGTACTTTTCCTGTGATTCGATTTGATCTGTTCGTTGCTCTGAAAGGTTCTCACGTGAAAGATCACGAAGCGATGGTAGTAGTAAGTGAGAAAAATCATATTCATTGGGATAGTGGATGTTGGAAGTTTGAGTGGTTGTAGAACAATTGAGTTAGGTTAGGGATTACTTGATCAAACGAAATGAACCTTAGCATTTTAACTAGGAGCAGATAGAAACTTCACGAAATTTCGAAACTCGAAACTTTCTTGGGTTCGAAGGGATTTCGAAGTTTCGAAGCTTCCAGGAACCTAACCTTAATTTTATTTCTGCATAAACAAAATTTTGCTTGTTAGGGGAGAAGTTCTGATTGACCTTAGTTTCCAATTATAATCTGCAAGTTAGGAAGGAACAATCGCTATTTGCATACTGTAGAATCTTTGCTGTTGCTATGATATAATAAATACGAAATAAAAGAGATAAGTATATGGATCTTTAGGGGATCAGAGAAATCGTGATCCACCGTATCTTTCGTTATGATCGGTGTGAATGGAATTTTTGTAACTATAGTACAGCAATGGATGAAGAAAAAGTAAGAACCAAAGTTACCATCGATCTCACAGAGGGTTAATACCCTGTGTATATCCCGACGAGACGTGTCTTATCAAGGAAACAGCTTGATAGGGTGCTTGCACCGGGGCATTGGATCATTTAGTTGCGCTTCCCGTTGGCGTTAACAGCCTCTTTGCTTAGCTCATTTATCCAGAATGTTCACAAATTGATCGCGATACATTCGGTTAACAGCTGGCCCCTATACAGGCAGCGTGGCGTAGAACACCACTCTGGTTTCGACAACGATAACCAACAGGGAACCCCTTCGACCCGTGCGGCAACCCGATAGATATACCCGCGATCCGTTATGCCAGCCCCTCTTGTTTCGACGTTGCGGTTGCATTAAAACAACCTGTTACCTACGAACAGGTAACTCCTATCCTAGTTTTCTAATAACGAAAAACGACCGGCTGGTTAACGAGGGAAATTACACGGCTTGTCGTGTAGCGACGATCGTCTGGTTGCTACCAACAAGGCTACCTTGGGACATGATCAGCCTAGCCTAGTACCGACGTTTCGACTAGGCTCTTCAGCGTCCTGCTATCACGGCTGGCTTAACGGTATTGTAGGTCCCTGGGCAAAGCAGTGTAATGAAGTTTTTATCTGCACTCACTATAGTAAAGGGAATGGGAATGTAGGTGGATGATAAAATTGAATATATACTTATTGATATCTGTGGAAAAGTTAGGGAAGTATGTTGCATATGAGAAATTATTTAATGGGAATATTTGAAGGGTAAATATAAAGCTTGAAGGAAAAGGAAATTTCAATGAATAGGAGGGTAATATTTAGTTGGGAAGCATTTGTAGATCCCTATATCGTGGGATCCCCTAAATCCTAGGGTCCCTAAATCGTAGGGTCCCTAACTCGTAGAGTCCCTGACTCGTGGAAACCATTACTCTTGAGATCTATGACTCGTAGGAACTATGACTCGTGAGATCTATGACTCGTGGGATATATGATTCGTGGGATCTCTAAATTACGAAATCTCTAAAACCGCGTGGTCACCTAAATCATAGGATCTCTATATCGTGGAGTTCCTAAACTTTAAGATCCCCAAATTTAGGTATCCCTAAATTCCCGTGTCCCTAAATCTTGGAGTCACTGAATCTAGGGATCCCTAAAGATCTTAGGGATCTTAAGATCCCTAACTC